GAGCTGGGTAAGGATGCAACCCCCCTTCACAGAAGTAGGTGGCAGACTCAGGGCAATTAGCTGTGAAGGTCTCACTCTGTAAAGCAGCAGTATGCAGGGGAGACTGCAGGAAAGTGCCACTTTTTGTCAGGCTGCAGAACCAGGACTAGGAATGGGGATGGGGTAGTTGAGCTGAGGACATGCCAGAGAGAGATTTAGCCACTGGAAGTGTGCACAGATGCCCTGAGGCAATCACAGTGCTGTAGCTGGACCAGAAACCAGTGGTTTCGACAACCCTGACATCTTTTGTGTTCTCCTTTCCTCCTCCAAAAGTCAATATACAGACTTTGAAACAGATACCATTACAGAAGGTCATCCACGTACATTACAGAGGACTGTTGTGGAAATGAGGGCATGGAAAACAGTAAGAAACTCCCTGAAGGAGATTCCATGCACCAAAGTATTATAGAATGGAATCATATTAATGGCTTAGGTTGGAAGGGACCTTGAAGATCATCCAGTTCCAACCCTCCTGCTTTGGACAGGGACACCTCCCACTAGACCAGGTTGCTCAGAGCCCCATCCAACCTGGCCTTAAACACTCTCAGGGATGAAGCATCCACAACTTCTCTCAGCAACGTGTTCCAGTGCCTCACCACCCTCAGAGTAAAGAATTTGTTCCTAATATCTAATCTAAACCTACTCTCTTTTAGTTTGAAGCTGAAGAAAGATGTTTATTTCTTAGGTAGATATAACATTTATAACCTTGCAACAAAAATAGTTAATAACAGGATTTATTACTTATCTTAATCATATTCTCTATCTACAGATTTCAACAGCTTACAAGGACAGTATTTTATGGCCCTTTCTTTCAGGTCACAGGTTACTTAAAAATACAAGGGCCACAATATCAAATGTTTGATGAGTGGTCAGAATAAGAGAACCCTCTTATCTTACATCACTGATTTCCCAAGGAAAACACAAAAACACCTTTTCCGCACATACTACATAATTTACAGTAATCTAATTTCCCCAATTTCTGATAACACAGGGCTCATGTCTTAGACTTTACACTGTTTTGATGAAAGATCAAAGAAAACTCTTTCATGCTTGCCTCCTGCTCTTCGATCATGACCCTTTAACTTTGTTTCTTGTCACTGACTGATTGAAGAGCAATGTGACTTGACTTTCTTCCTGCCTGCCCACTCCAAAAATGGAAAGCTGATAAAAGCAATAGATGAGATAGGAAGAGGCAAACATCTGTTGAATCCGTGTTCTATGAGTCAAAGATGTTTTTTTGAGCCCTGAAACCAGCAGACTATAACAGCTAAGGACACCTAAACCAAGAAACATTTGGGAGAACTTTGCAGTTGAGCAACAGTGTGGGAAGGAGGATGTACAATATCTTACACTGTTCCTAATATTACAAGTTCCATTTGTTATTTTTTTCTAAATCCACATTTATTGTTTGAGGTCATCACCAAAGTGTTCTTTGTTTTCCCACTATGAAACAGATGGTGTAAATGTGCCCTGCGATTTTATTGCTGTGTTACAATTTCACTGTGTCATGCTCAAACCACTGGATTCATTCAGTCCACAATAAAACTTCCATTCTGCTGTGCTGCCTATGGGGGCACTGAATAAAATGGCAGTTGAAAAAGTTTCAAGTTGCTAAATCAATATTTTATTATTTGTCTCAATATAGGTTTATTAGTCATAGAAACAAAGCTCAACAACAGATAAAAGCTTGAAACAGTTACTTGGAAAAATGTAACGAGAACAGACTTGTGCACAACCACTGCATTTTTAATTTTTTCATTTCTTAGTACATCTTTTCCAACATGATGAGATTAAACAAAATTGCTCAGCTCTGTTCTTTGTAAGGTCAGTCAAACTATCGGCTGAAAGAGTCTTTCTCAAGGTTATACACAAATGAAAGAAAACGTCTATTATAAATTTACCTTGGCACAAGCAAGTATAAAAAAAGAAATAATCTGTGAAGAGGTGTTCTGAAGAGTGTTCAGTTTAAGACGAACATGACTAAAGGGAAAACAGCTGAAATACAGCAAGATTTAACTCTCTGCAGTCCTTTATCAGTACTTTTCAACCACAGCAACAGTCAACCACTCAACACATTTAATGGTTTAAGGCCAGAGGCAGGTACAGAACTTGCTACTCTAACCTTGGAGGTGTTGTCATACCCAGGGTGGAGCAGAGTTGACACGTGAATACATAAACATTCATGGAAATCCACTCCCTTGATTGCATAAGGTGAATACAGCAGGCCAAACTCTATTGTTACTGACAGAAGCTTAAAAGAGAAATGACAAGGAGACGTGTTGACAGAAATTGTTTTCTTCTACAGGAAAAATACTGCAAGTCTCTTGGCTTTAGGGGGCAGTTTATCTACTTGCCCTGTAGAGATAACCTTACACGCAGCACCAAGGGAGCAGAGGGATGACTTAAAAATCCTAAGGAATGAAAACACCTATCAGGTGAGACAGTCATTGTGAGGTTGCTGGGATAGTCTCAGCATTCCTGCACGCCTCCCTTCCCACTGCCTGGATGCACACCAACCAGCCTCTGATTAACCCTCTCTGGAAGCTGACCCTTTCACACAGATACCACCAGTGCCTGCAGTGGCCGATCCAGTTTAGTGGACCAGTATCTCCAGCTGCCCTTGAGGGTGGTTGGTACTGTGTGCTGGTCCAATATTCTCATTTTGATGTCCTCTGCTGTGGATTTCCTGGGTTTCTTGATACCAACCACAGCACAAAGGCAGGCCAAGTCAAAACAGAGAAACATCTGTTAACTTGATTCAAATATAGACAATACAGATACCAGAGATATGTGTACCTGAACAAAAGCAAGGGGTTTGGAAGACTTTTAACAACTACTACAAAAGTAATTACTCCCATTGAATTGGCCTCTTCCTTTTCTCTCTCTTCTAACTTTTTTTTTTTAGGAAAAAAATGAGACCATTATTTAATTGTATCACTGTCTTTAGATTTGGCATTAAAAGAGACCTCTTAACATTTCTGAGTGCCCTTCAAATAATTAGATTTCTAAAGCCCACCCTGTAGCATTCTATTAAAATTTATTAACTCACTTGCCAGCAGTTTAAATAACAAAGTGAAGAAAACAATTTGCATCAGGCACTGGACAGTGACGGCAGGAACATTCCCAAGGCACCGTCACATGATTTCTTTATATGCCCTTCAAAACCTTATACAAAACAGGAAGCTTTTAGAACTTGCCCCAAAGAAATTAAAATTAAGGTCACACAAGTAAGAGAGATGGGGCAGCTCTGTGGACCCGGAAAGATTCAGATGCTCACCTATCTGTTTGCATCACAAACCCAGCTAAGGTGCTGCTGCCTGTACCTTATGGAGAGAAGAGATCTCTTGAGTAGAGAGCTCCATGGCAGCTTAGGGGTTTGTAAAGCAGGTTTGTAAAGCTGCTTCAGGGCATGGGGCAGCCAGCACAGCCCTGCAGTGCCTCACGTGTAGCTGAGCAGTTCTTACCACATTAGCCCTGGTCACATGGAGAACATTGCCATAGGCTGGTCCTGAAGCAAAATAGAGCTCTGAACAGTGATAGCATCTGCTTCTCAGAGGCATTACTTCATGGTCAAATGCAGTTGCAGCCAGGCAGAGTGGCTGCTACCGTGGGGCCACGGCAGCCTGCGCTCCATGGCCACGTCTCCGTCAATGCTGGACACCCTTCTTCGGGAGTGGGGCAAGACAGCACCCCTGCCATCTCTCTCACACAGCAATGCCTCCATCATGTCTGTGCTCAGTGATAACCAGCCTCAAATCAACACAGATTGCAGCTGTGGTGGTGACACAGTGTCCTTGCAGCCTGAGGAGGCTCTCTGAGAAAGCAGAGGGATATGCCATGGGGAGGTGCAGGGGACAGCAGGGCAGCCTCTTGCAGAACCTCATCTGTGAAATCTCATGGAAGAGGAGTAGAGCATTTGTTCACAACCAACTACAGCAATCTCTTTCAAAGAAAGGATTATCAAAATGATGTTGACTATCAGCAAGCCAATAATTTGTCATTGTCACCAGCACAGAGGAGATGCCAGATGAAAGGCCCACAGGCTGTACCTGGCTCTGAAAACCTCTGTCAGACAGCAAAATAAACTCCACAGGTCTCTATCCTTTGCCAGGCCTGGCATGGAAGAGCTACTGGGAAAGGGCAGGGCAGGGGGAAGTGAATGCTTTGGTGATGTGTGGTAGCACTACTCAGCTGCCTGGGAAGGCATTTTACACATGTCCCAAAACAGGAGTCTGAAATTGGGGCTTATACTTTTAATGTTGCTCTGGAGAAGACTTTTCAACAGTATGGTACAATATATGGTGCAAGGAGTACTGGAGAAGTGAGATGGCTTATTATCAAGGTAACCACATCCATTTGGAAATGTCTGGACAAATGAGCAACGTGGGGGGACCTTTTTTCCGTCATGTTGCTAAGAGACATATTTGTAGTCAATCACAGAACCATCAACTGCTGCTACTCAGGAATTTTTTTTAATACTCTTCTATACTGAAAAATAACTCAGTGAAGCTAAAATTGCTCATGGAACCATGCAAGTTTTGACGAAAACAAGAAACAAAACCTGCACTGGCAATGACTTCTCAGAGTCCAGATGGAATTTGTGATCCATAAAGCATCACACCGAGGTTGGTATCACCAGCATACAAAAAATCAAGAGGAGCAGCTCAAACCCACGCCCTGTTATATCCCTTACTAGAAGAATACTGGACTGCTTTACAATAATCTATAAGGAGCTAATAAGTAAATTAAGTCTACGTCAAGTAGTTTAAATTCGCTATACCCAGAGATCTGCATATACTACAGAAAATTTCAAGGGATTTTGAAGTCTGAAAAAGGATGAAGACTGCTAGACTAGTTCAATGTGCAAAGCAGCCTAATGCCCTGCAGTGGAGGAAACACAAGTTGAAATCCTTGCTCCGGGGCTGTGGGTGAAGGTCAGAGCAAGAGTCAGCCTTCCTTACGGGCTGGGGGTTTGCTGACAGCCCCAAGGCACTGAGTATTTTGGCACTAGTATCATGATTTTGTGAAGTTTTCAGGAAGTCAATGTTGTGCTATGCAGAACAGTAAATGTTGAAATCTCAAAGTACTGTGCAGGACAGAAATCCCTTTTTTAAACACTTCTACCAATGAGGGAGACAGGAGCATTTTCACAGAGCCAAGCTGCCTGGGTGGAAAGGCTGAAAGGTAATGAAGGTTAGTAGCACAATTAGGTAAGAAAAGGGACACAAATAACATTTCATAGGGCTGAAAAAAAATTGACGAGAACATAACTTTAGAAATTATTTTCGAACCTACATTTCTTTTAATAAATCTGCACAATAAAAGTATCAACTGTTATGCACTTTGATATAAGAGCATGTGAAATATATTAGGGGGAATAGAACAAGGACGTATCATTATTCAGCACTGCTATTAAACAAAATGCAAAAGTCAGCAAGTTAAGAGAAAAAACATCCAAAACACCTAGAAACAGAAAAATGAAGCTTTTCATGAATATTGGACATATCTGGGAACACCCAGAGCAGCAGTCAGGCTTAGGTTTGAGGTCAGCATTTTTTCTTCATGGAAGGAAGGTCTTTTCATTTTAAAGTTGATAGTTACCTTCAACCTTGCCTGCTCCTCAGGTGCAGTCACGGAGAAATTTGCTTAATGCTGCCTATGCTACCAACAAATGAATGTTCAAGAGTGCTCAGCCTTTACTATACTTCTGCTAACACTCTTGAAGTTGTAGGTGAGTTGGAAACAATCCAAACCGCGATTTTAAACAGCTGTAGGATGGAAGAAGTACATTTAGAGACACCAACATAATGTTCAGAAACAAGCCCACAAGACTACACACAAAAAGGGGATACTGAGATATATCACTATTGTGAGACACAGCAGACATCTGTGTGGAATATTTTGATTTTATTTAATATGCTAGTGAGGTGGGTACGTACAAAAACCCCCAGTTTGAAAACTCTTATATGTCAGGTTTTTTTTCAGAGGGCCAGTATATTTTACCTTCACCCACCTGTAAAGAAAAACCTATGGTTAGAACAGAACCATGAACAGAAAAGCAGACAAAACAAAATAAAAGGAAGAGATAAAAATAACAATCCTAATAGTAAATGGAAATAAATGACTTGTGCTAAGAGAGTTTAGGGGTGCCAGCTGGGGAGAATGTTTGAGCTGGTCACATCGCCCTTGCTTTCCTTCAACAGTATAATTTTTCACAGAAAGTCCTGGCAAGAAATGCTGCCTGCAGTGGTTTTAATCTTGGAAACAACCCACGTGTGGTGGCTGCATTAAGACTGGAAGTGAAAAGGCCTCAGGTGGTAACAGGCTGTGCCTCACTGTGTGTCACAGACTGACACCTGCACCTGGCCCCAAATGCCTGAGTTCATCCCCTTGGCTGTTTGTCCAGCACTGAAATACTGCCTGGCCCAGGTGGGAGCAGACCAGCAATGTCAGGGACAGGGAAGGAGAGCAGGCGAGCTTGGGTGGCAGATCCACATATGTACAGACCTTGCAGCGTCATTGAACAAACAACTTGAGTCCTTGTGCTCAGCATCGCTGCCAGTGGCAAAAGCTGAGTAACAAAATAAAGAAAAATCTAAGGAAAAATCAAATCAGGACCCTCTGACCTATGGAATCGATCCAGGGTCTGTTGTGCAGGAAAACACATTCTACATCACAGGAAAGGCCAGGGAGACAGTCTAGTACAGAAAATTCCCTATGCAGAGATTTCATTGCTGGAAGTATCAAAATGATTTAAGCACTTGTTTCGTCCTTGCTTTAAGCTCCTCAGCTAAACCTGGGAGTGATGCAGGTACATACCATTCTTCCAAGTGGAGAAGGAAACAGCAGGTCACACTGAAAATTTTTGTTTTGATTCTTAGGTTTTGTTGTTTCTAAGGGGAAAACAGCACAGCAGTCAGTGTGCTTTTATTGTGTGATACCCAGAGACAGGACAGGCAAAGAGAACACAGGTCCTAATGTTACAGCATTGTTGCAGAAAGCTAAATGGTAAGCAAGTGCTGTATAACATGCTGCATGTGTTAGATATATACATGGTCAAGAGAATATAAGCAAGGCCTTTCTTGCACTGACTTGTTACTTAGCATTCAATAACTCACTGCCAAATGAAAAATACAATTACTGAGATCCCCCTGTAGAAGAAAAGCGTAGTTCAACTTTCTGGCAAAGCTCAAAGTTCAATTACCCTGTAGCGAATCAATCAAATCTGTGTGCAGCAAGCAATGAAATAGTACAGATGTCACCTCTGTGCTTTCAGCTGAACATGGTTTTCTTTCTTTTTAAAAATCAGCGAGTAGCACTAGGAGACATTTACAACTCTCACATTATGCAGAAGATAAAAAGAAATCTATCAATGTGATTTAGAGCAGCAGAGAACAGTGCTCAGGGCGTGCAAAACAATAAATAATGAACATTCATCACCAGTAACCTGCACGATGATCTGATTTTTATAGACACCGAGATTCATGATACCAGTTTAACATTGTATCTGCCACACTCCCATAGCTGGGAGCCAGGCATGCAGAGGCAATCATGCACTGAGCCATGTGCAAACACATCAGCCCATGGTGATGGATGTACGGTCAGGACACAAACGTGTACGTGCACAGCAAACGCCACTTAACCCAGGGCAGAGTGTCCTGTTTGGATAAGAAACGTTCCAAAGGGAGCAAGGTGCTACACTGTGGATGTGACAGCTTGGAAAGTCACGCTCACGCTGCTGCTTCAAAAGACTCTCTTTGCCCTTTTGTTATGATCAGTGTAAAAACTGCCCTGGTGTCCATGAAACTCTCAGACACCCACCTCCCTCCAGGCTTCACCAGCCTCTCCAAAAATACCAGGGACACATTATCCTGCCTACCAGAGCGAGAAAGGATGACACAAAGTTTTTGTTGACTACAACAGGGACCTTCAGTTTCCAGCAGGGGTCATTATGCAAGGTTGGTTTTGGTTTTGTTCACTGTTATGACATTCCCAGAAATGATGGCAAAATTTTGCAATCACTTTCAAATGGCTGAAGTTGACTTCGAAATTAAGTCCTCTGACTTAAAACACTTTTTTTGCTACAGAAGATTTGGTTTTTGTGCTTTTAAAAAAATTCCTGACAATGTCACTGGTCATATTTAATGCTGAAAAAAACTTCTAATAATTCCAGGTTAGTCCATGATATTGTCAGTGAGTGAAAAAGGGAATATGCTTATGTTTATAAAACAGCCAATGAGACAATGTGAAGAAATCCTCTGACCCAGTTCTGATCCCAATTACAGTGCTTGAAAAACAAGATTAATTTGGAATTAGCCCTCAAATAATTCAAAGAAGTTTCAAATCAACCTTGCTGCCTGTGGAGTAAAAACTGCCCAAGAGCTGTCCCCTCACTCAGCTGTAATTTTTCAATTTGTTGTAAGAGAGAATAATTTCTGCTTTCCCTCAGCCTGTGACTGTTATTTTGCTATGGCTAGAACAGATGCTTTTTTTAAAACTGAAAACTATACAAATTCACAAATATGATTAAAATTGAGCCTGAATTTTGAAAGAATATACTTGCTTGGCTACAAAAAATAGATACTTTATATCATAAAAGTAATTGATTCATGCAACTAAGTCCATAGAGCAATGCAAATTAAAAGACCACTTAAATACACAGTTAATTCTCATTGTAGTTGTGTAGAATTGATATTTTGAAACAATAGAGGCATCTTAAAAAATTTTATTTAGCATATCGAAAAACAAATGTTACAAAAAATTTTCTATAAACATAGGCAAAAATGTTTAAATAGGATAATTTAATGTAAACCAAACCCCCTTAAAATATGCAATACTGTAATCAGAGGTTATTTACATCCAGTGAAGACAGAACAACCTTCACTAATGTTAATGTAATCTAAGCAAATCATTAATTTCCATAACACATTTAAGTTAGTTTTAGTAGCTAAATCATCTCAGTCCTAATACAAGATGAAATTCAGTGTTACATTCAGAAGTGGGAAAGGCAGTATCCTGACTATTCATGTCATCAGTCAAGATAGCACTGCATTCAGAGTTGCAAAACCTTAGAGAGGTACAACTATAAATTCATATTTATTGCATGACATGCAATTACAGGATAGGTAAAACAAACAAACAAGCTGTATAAAACCCCAGTACAAATGAAATTTTATTTTTCAATCAGTTTAGAAAAGCCAGCCACAAGACTAAGCTATTTTCCCACATTTCACAAAACAGAACAAAACAATTTGTAATTTGATATTATTCCAACATGGAGAAAACTGTTCATGTCTCAGAGGAAATGAATTTGCACAACTGTCCCACACAGTTTTGTTAACTATGAAATTTATTCACCAAGACATAAATGTATAGCCCACAATGGCTTTCATGCTCATGTACATGGAAAAGGCATAGCCCAATAAATTTTACTTATAGATCACTTTAGGTATTTGGTTGTGACTTTTTTGGAACAGCAAGCATCAATTTTGAATTGCACACAAAGGTATCTACAGGATACAGTAACAGGATAAAGTAACATATTCAATCTAGGAACCAGAAACGAAGCCTTTAAAAGTGGTAGTGGAATATAGTTTAAAAAAAAAAAAAGCCAAACAAAAAAGGGATCTAGCTCATCTCTAAACTACTAAACCAGGCTGCCCATGTTCAGGGGATGACAACTGCTGCTGAACAATCTAGTGTGAAATGGGTGATCTCCATGCATTTCCTACAGGAAAGTCTTATATTCTAAGAAAGTTACTGCTAAAATTACTATCTGTGCTGGCAGGCACAGGAGATGCCAATATGGCACAGACATTGAAGTACCAGCTCTTTCTGAGGTGGTTTCTGCACGTTGGGATGAGGCACTTTGTTTTGGTAACATCTGTCCAAAGCAGTTCATTTATTAACTGTGCTCAGTAGAAAAGGAGCTTTAACTTCTATAAGTGGCAATTCAGGATTCACAAGGGCTAAAACCACTTCAAAAGAAAAGGTCAGACAGCCCACAAACAAGACCCAGGCAATTTTTACTACAAGTGTCCAAAATATTATACTTATCTGCCCAATATCTATTATATATAATATGCATAAATAAGAGTTACAGTTTTGACAACGGAGTCAGGAGTTTGGCCAGGGGTTCATCTATTAACTCTAACATAACTTGCCTTAGCAACTGGAGATCCCCAGCAGACAACTTTGGCAACCTACTCTTTGTCAAAAATGAGAACATTAAATTAATCATAAAATCCTTACTCCACTTGTCAGTACATCAGATCAAATTCTTACCAAAGTGTGCATATACACACTCATCTATGATCACATATTTTTTTCCAGTCTCTGTCCATAAAAATCCTTTGGGAAAAGGTGGGCCAAGCCCCCATGAGATGGACTTTAAGAGCAATTTCAAATGTATGGCACTGGCATTTCATTTGGGGCGTTTGAAACAAGATGCAGTTTGTGTTTCTGTTTTAAGAAAGCCAACATAACATAATTTAGTTCTTCAGGGCCAAACACACTTCAGTTGGTGCTGATTGAATAGTAGAACATGGAACAGTACTGAGCTAATGCCACACTACCTTGGTGTGGGAAGAAAGAAAACTGAAACTAATATTCAGAAGTTAAATCAAGCAATGAACTTTCAAATCAAGCTGGGAAAAAAGGAATCACCACACTAGAACTTTCACCACCCTAACTATCATCAGCATCTAAACCAGGTAGGTGAAATTTTGTACAAGCCTGTAGATAATTTGCATCCATCTCTTCATCCTCAAAAAGTCACTCCACACTAATGCTTGGGGTTATGCCTGCATGTTCTTAGAATTCCTTGTTGGAATGGGTAAGCAATGAATATATTTGTTGTTGCAAAAAGGTATCTATATTCTCTGCAAAGGATTTCCAAAGGCACCAATACAAGGTGCACACACGGTACAGGTAAGTAGGCAGGAGAGTATCAGAATTTGAGGAAGGGGTTCATAGCTGGGGAAACCTTGAGGAAGGTTTTCATAGTTGGGGGAAAAAGGAAGACACACTGAATTGCTTTCCTTTTTCCTTTTTATAAGGAAAAGTAATACCTTTGGGTTATGTGCTTATAGATAACATCCTGGTCCCAGTGAAGACTATGGGAGAAAATTTATGACCAGGATTTTATCCACTCTTGAGTATTTCAGTATTTCATTATTTACTGTTGCATGAACTTTCTTGTTCTAAAGTTAACATGCATACTTCTCACCTCTGGAATACACACGGGAAAACAGGAAAGGCAGAACACAGACAAAACCAAACACTATTAAATCCACTAATCAGTGTTTTGAATTTTTAGCTTCTAAACATTTACAGAATTTTGAGCTGTAATAGCAAAAGCTTTAGAACACACCTCTTCTGCTAGGACTCTGAAATTATTGCTATTACACCAGCATTCTCTAAATGAAATCCTGGTTTGAACACAAAGGCATCCTGCCCTCAGCCTCCTGAGGGTCCAGGATAGGGTTCATCATGTAACAAAAATCCAAGTGAGAAAAAAGAACCTACCAGACGAGGCAATACTGTAAAATCAGGCCCCTTTAGTGTAACTAACTATTAAAATGTTGTTTAAGGATTCCCTATTGCAGGGAATTATGACAGTCTGCAGTAAGAAAGGGGAGGGGAATCCCACAAATCTTGTGGGGAACGTGGACATGTTCAGAATAAAACAAGTGACATCCCCCAAAACAGAGGTACTTTTGAGAAGTATGACAGAGCACCACACTTGTATCTGCACTACACTCTCAATACAGATTCCTTATCTTTTAAGACCTTCTGTAGGGGAAAAAAAATCCCAAACCCAAAGAACGAGTGAACCTAATAAAAAGTGAAATCCATTGTACAAGTCCATCAAATTACAGAAATGCATAATATGCCAAGATAAAGTGCTACAAAATGATTACTGATTTTTAAAAGGTCCGTGGCTTTCTTCTGGTTTCACTTAGCACTGGTGACAATGGGAGTTAGTGCAATCGCACCGGCTGAGCTGGAATTCACAATGTCTTCGTATTGCGGGGGTGGATCTAAATGTTGCTCAGTGTCACTTCTTCTCACACTGATCTCACCAGTGGCTTCCTCATAGGAAGGAGGAGGATCACAGTTTGAGAGCCTGGTGGATATCGAGTCCGACCGTGCATCCGAATAGCTCAGACCTCCCGGGGAGAGCCCACTGACTTCATACATTTCCTCCTGTGGGGAATGAACAATGCTGAGGGGCGGCGGGACAGGGCCTCTGCCATCAGCCACAGCACCGTCACCGTGGGCTCCCCTGTGCACGTACACCGACTGTCTACGCATTTTCTTTTTAAACAGGCATCTCCATATGACAAAAATGACAATGAGGATAACGAAAAGGCCAATGATTAATGGAAACGCAAGGTAAAATGAATACCAGGTATGTCCTGTGTTACTTTCTCCCTGAAGTCCGTTTTTGTAGACTTTCCAGAACTCCTTCTAGAAGAGCAAGATACAGTGAGTCAGAAACTATAAGATAGTTAAAAAAAAAAAAAAAGCAATGTCAGCAAGTTGTTTTAAATGAATGAGGAAAACAAAAAAGGCATTTCTACTAAGGATTAAAATAAGAACTGGCATGGATAAGCACACACAATAAACTTTCAATTTTTCTTCCGATGTCATTAGTGATACCAAACGGATTTGGTTTTTAAAAACAAACTCCACACTACTTTTAAGGTTCCTGTGTCTGCACTCAGTGTTTGCAAACATGCAGCACAGACAGGACTATGCAAAAATAGACAAACAATCAACCCCTCAAACAGAAAAAAACCCAGCCAACCAACCCTCCTGTCCCCGAAACGAACTAGCTAAAAAACCCCAAAACCCCTGTCTAATCAGCATGCACATTAGCCATCTGATGGATCAAAATTTTTCAGCACCACTCAAGGTAAAACTTTGGGGTTTGTTTGTTTTAAAATTGCAATAATGTACTAATAGAATTTGACAGGGAAATACCGGTTCGGAATGACAGACCATTTTGGCAAAGCACAACTATGTTGTACTGTCATCTCATAATTTAGACTTCCTCCACCCTCTGGCTCATACAGTGATTGCTGTCAGCTTATTTTGAGTTGATCCAGATCCTCTGTTTACAGCTAAAAATAGCTCCAGAGCTATGAGAATATCACACAGCTTATTATATTCTAGAAATCTTGACAGCACAGCTACAGATAAATGGAACATAAAGTGAAAATATGAACAAGTGAAAACAAAGATGAAGGGGTACACCAGCACTTGAAAGTCATCTTTGCTCTATTAATGTGCACAAGCAGGAGCACAAAGATCATGTTGCCAATTTCCTCTGCAGGGACTGCTATGAAAAAAAAAAAGAAAAGCATAACCTGCCTCAAAAAAGTAGCCATCCTCACCTGTAACATAAGATCTCTCCTACTAAGAAACACTTCCACTGTGTTTTATAGTCATGGATAATTTAAGAAAAAAATAATTAATGACATCCTGCAATCCATGCCAGAAACTCTGAACTCTTTAGTTTCCTATAAAAATACAGAGAGTTGGCCCAGCCATGCTCATGCCAGCATTGCATTCATTTGAAATGATAGCACATATCTCATGCAAGTATTTAGGAAATAGTCACCAGGTAAAATTGATATTGTCACTCAGTTATTAGTAGACATATTCAGGTGCAGACTGACCGACTTAGAGCACAGACAAACCAGGTCCATTAGTTTTTTTTTAGTTCAGGACTGCTGCCACATGATCAGCGTTAAACAGAAAATGCCACCAAGCTGATCCCAGAGGCAGCTTGAGTCCACAGGCAGTGTCGAGGCTAAACCTGCCCAGTGCAAAGCCAGGACCAGGACACCATGGACAAAACACATGCTCACAATGTTTCTGGATCAGAACTCACTAAGGTTAAGAGCAATGCCATGTGCATGAAACAAATGACTATCCTGTAAATTTTCTTTACCAAAGATGAATTCAGTTGTTCTTATGCTATATATATACTATACTCAGTGCAAATTAAAAAAAAAAAAAAAATGATTCCTACAGCAATCCATTCAGGCATTTTCCCTAAATTCCAAGGCTTGACACCACAAATGTGTCATCACAGTGCCCCTCTTTGATGTGAACGCAGGTCCAAGTCACCCAAGCTAAGTCAGGTAGGATTGGCTTCAAACAAAGCAAGAAACTCTGGGAAGATGGACCCTAAACACTTCTATACAAGGCCCTTCCCTGATGCACTGTTCCACATTGAATCCTACATCAACTGTGCTGATTTTAGAAAAACATATGGGGGGGGGAACTAACATTAAAAAAACCGACATCAGATGCACAGCTGAGGACTTTTGGGATCTCTGCATGATAAAACCTGGCAAAACCAAACACCTCACCCTCTCCCCGCCAGATTACCAGGCAATCAAGAAGATCTATTACCTATCACTTTTCCATCTGGTTAGAATAGAATTAAATTATTTAGTGAAATAAATAATAGATATATTGTTGACTAAAAAAAGCAGAAAAGGATACATTAGGATTACAAAATGCTATTGTCTGCACTGGAATGAAATTTTCCATTTCGCTGTTCTGCTGCCTCAATGGCAGCAAAGAAATAAAATGGTACAGTGCTTGTTTTTAAGGCCAAGGTTGCAAAGATTTACAGAAAGATGTCAAATAGATTGTGCAAGGGTATGTCATTTTAAAGACTGTGGAGGAGAAAGGTAGTTTTGATGAAAAAGAAAAAATCACACTTCTCCCCTAGCAATCTATTTCATGTTGTAGACTGCAGAGGAAATGCACCTTTTCCAATAGAAGGGTAGTAAGTAGTGACTGGTATTTTAGTGTTGTTTTCATGTTACTTCTAGGTCAGATCTATCTGCTGTAGAAAATGTCTCTGTACCTTTTTTATAAAGCTTAAATACCAGCTGAAATACCTCCTTGGCACTCTGCAACATGGCAAAGAAGCAAAAGAAGCTGTTTTCCCAGACTGGCAGGTACTTAGTTCAGAACAGGTTGTGGGGATGTTTGACTTGATGATGTGACCAGACAGCTGCATAAAGAGCTTAAGGTAAGAGTTGAAACTGCCTCAAGGATGAAAGTAGTTTAGTGTCCTCTTTCATTTATATGCAAGGTAAAGAAAATTCAAGACAGTGTAGACACCCCTCACCCCCTGGTCAAAAATTATAGTATTTTAGATCTAATACTATCTTACAGAGACACAGGAATGAAGTTCTGCACACAGACGAAAAACACTAAGAAAGAAATACTTAAATGTTCTTCTTCAGGGGAAAAGTGAAAAACAACCAACCAAAAAAACCCACAACAAAACAACCCCACTAAACCCACCAACCAAAACCTTACCAGCATCCCAGGTTTGCAGCTTGCATTTCTGCAAGTCAGATCTCAAAGAGAAGCACAAAGACACTTAGTTCCAGAGTGATGCAGTTGACAGGAACTGCAAGAAATTAATCCTTAGGGTTTGAGCTGCACAGCTGCCAAGCGGCTCTCCCTCTGCTCCATCATCCCACAGCTACACCACACAGTAAATTGATGGTGCAGAAGGAGTACAAGACATCTGGTGAAAGTCAAATCATGCCCTGCAAAACCACAGACAACTCAGATGAATTTGCACAATGTCAGGATTTGTACAAACTGCTCTGAAAAAAGAACAAGTAGGGGAAATACTGAAAACTTAGAAAGCAGCTGTGAAATTCATAAAGAAAGTTAAAGAGTAGTTTAGAAGTTGAAAAGCTCACAGCACAAACACTCCTTCCACAATTGCTGGTCTCTTAAACCAACAACAAAAAGGACTGACTTTCTACTTGACAAAATTACTAATTTGCGATCAAAGAAAAGGACACTTAAGTAATCATTTATCCTCAAGTGCTGTACAACTGGGAATACCAGGTGTGAATGCCTTATAAGGCTGAAAAACTAAGTTAAGCAGGCCACAGAATCAGATAACCACTGTGGAAAAGACTTGGAAAACATCTAACATACATTCCTGCCAAGAGCTATCTTTCTGAATGTACCTTATTGCTTCGGCAAATCCAGTTTGAAATAATCAAAAGGAATTCTCAAATGCATCCCAAACAAAGACAGTTACAGAAAATTTGCCAGAATTTTGTTTCCCTTTTATTTGTAATACTCAGAACAGAGTCAGCATCAGTTAACTGGATCTGAACACTGAATCAAATAAGGGATCCACATGAAAGTCAAGAGACTCACATCCTGCTTAGAATTTCAGCTGAGGCCTTTACTATATTTGGCAGCATCATCAGCTCAAATGATCCTTGATCAATTGTCTGACTTGTTTTAAAGGTGGACTAATATGCCAGCCAAAAGAGCGCTCGGTATTAGGTTGGCAGAGGATGCAAACAAAGCAGTAATGGGAAGTGAGTGCACTTGCTACAGTGTTTCCTTCTGGTCTGCCCCCGATTTCAGGTGGCAGGAAAAGATTCACCTCTTCTCCTCTGGATATTTATCCAGCATCCATAGTTACACACAGACTGGCACTAGAAGTCTTACCCAACCACATCCTTTTAGATCTGGTGCTGACAAGTTTTGAGTTTGCTAAGCTTTTTCGTAGTTTCTTTGTTTGCTTTCTAGGATAAAGCAAGACAGAAAATATTGGAATTTCTTCAATACTTAAAATTCGTGGGAAGATCTGTGACTTTCAGCTTTTAAAAACTTCATGCAGCACAATTTTAAAAAAAATTAGTTAATGGACATAAAATTAACGTCAGCGCTACAATCACACCCAGATACTTTGCACAGCAACATCTGAATAAATCTTTAAATTGCCCAACAACCTTTGACAACTGACCAGGGACGACACACAGTGCTGCTGTAGGCAAAGGCACCACAATAAACAGCTTTACTAGGTCAGCCCTAGGGTTCACCTAACTGGTAACTTCTCTGTGACAACCATAGTTAGAGACTGCTGAAAAGAGAGTTCAAACAAAGTAGGCAGTGACACTTTCCCAGATCTCACCTATTCGTACTTCAAGAACTATCATTAGCCAAAGCTAATTCCTTTTATTTAATGATTCCAGACTGATTATCTTCCCTTCATTTACATCAATGTTCTCTGAACATATACAAGTTTTTAGGATCCAAAACATCCCGTGGCAAGGCAGGTCACAGCTCTATTACCTGTGGTGAGGAGAGATACTTCTATTGCTTTGAACCTGCACATTCTAGTTTCCTTTGAGGCCCTCTTAGCTCTGCTATCAGAAGGATGGCAAGTGACTGACCTCAGCTCAGCCTTCATGCTCTTCACAGATATCAGCACATACTCCCTGATTTAATTATTCTATGAACTACTGTTGCCACAAAAGACTTTTGATATCTTTGGTCAACTGTCACTCTTCTCTGGTCCTTCCTCAGCTACTAATTTGCTTTTAAAGAGATAGGGGGATCACGGCACATTCAAGATGTGGGTATGCACTGACAGAATTACACTCTTTATTTTGATCCCTATTTTTTCTTTTTTCATATTCTTGGCACTCAGGTTTTTTATTTTTGTTTTGTTTGGCTGCTGAGCATTAAATTCAAGTCTTCACAAATTTGAATTCAGATCTTGTTCCTGAATTCAGTTCAAAGCCAATTATATATACAGTGAATGTTCCCTTTTCCCCCCGCACGCATTTTATTTGTCAACACCAAATTTCATATTCTATTTTAACCACAAAGTCTTGCAAATTCTTCCCTGATGACTCTAGCATAACATAATTGTATTATCTTTATAATTAACTTTATAATTTTAAATAATAATTCTGAACCTGTCAAAATCCCCAAGCCTACAAAATACTAAAAGCTGTCATGAAAATACTGAACACTATGTATATATACTTGACATACAAAATGCTAATTAAAAACTCATGAACCAAAAATAACTTCAGGGAACTGCTTGATGTTACTTTAATATTACAAATTTGTATGTTGCACAGTGCCCCAAAGACTGCAGAAAAATGAAGAACCGAGTGGACAAGATAAGAATACAAAGTGAGAGATTACACAGAACAAAGTTACCATGAGATAAATAAGCTACAGATCCTATTTGAATCCCACTTTATCCATACTATGAATTGTTGATTCTTTGTTTCTCTGAATGTACTGGATCATGTTCCTTGTCTGCTGCATCCATTTCCTTCCCCTGGGGCACAGAAATTAAGTCTTACTAAGTGGCTGTGTGGATGGATACTGCTGGGGGACAATGGACTAAAGCTGAAGTAAATAAGGCTGGTCAGGCACGACTGCACATTAGCAGAGCCTGGCCCATTAGCAAGATCCCAACAACAAAATACAGCAGCCAGGAAAAAACAATACAGTAGTAAAAATGGATAAAAGCTCAGGACCTTATTGGAAGCTCCTTTGCCACTTGTGGCAAGAACAAAAATGTATCTATTTCTATTTTACTACTTCCCAAATACCTCTGCAAGAGAACTGCTATCTACTAAAACATGAAATGTTCCTAAAAGTAGCAAAATAAGCCGAAATTAGAAGCAACATGTTTAAGTTGTGTTTTCTCTAACAACTCGAACAAAAAGCAAAAGTGATATTATGTTAGAATATTATACAAATTGTCTCATTGTACACACTATTCTTAATTACACAAAGAGTTATATTAGGAATAGCCACACTATGACAAATTTGGGAGGTAAAAAAAGTGCATGCACTTTAAAGCTTCAGAAAGAAGAAGCTTTGAAGAGATGGCACATATTTCATTTTAATACATCCTACTATTTAATAAGTCCTACTATTTCATTTTAATAAATCAAAAAATTCCCATTCATCTCCCCAGGTATGACCTCCAACAAAAAGATGCCAAGAACTTAAAATCTCCAGTATGCCTTTCACATTGTTCTTTTTTGATGTAGAGCTCAGCAGCTGAAGAGTGGAATGCACTACCTGAGTAAATTCTGGAAGAAATCTGCAGTGTTCCCTCTTTCACTTCCACCACTATACCACTGGCCCTGCCAGTACAATTTCCCTGTGCCAAAATACACTAGGGATAGAAGCTTATTGTGGAGATAAGTAGAGATAATGATACCTAGTCACAAGGAAGCAACTGCTTCTCACTTTAAATTTATCTTCAAATTTAGCCCTAATTTCATCCGTATCTATCTTGAATTAAAAAAAAAATTGACTGTATTGTATTAAATAGTTCAGATGGCACCATCAAAAACCTGGTTTTGTTTTTTGTGAAGCAATATAAAATACTTTGAGTATGATGTGCAGCTACTGCTTGCAGAGCCATTAGCCCACAAGCTTCTTTAAATCAGAGAAGCCAACAGAGTTAGGCAACAATTCTGTGTGGGCAGTTTCTGCTTCATTCCAATCAAGTTAATAGATCACTGCCCTTGCATAACACATGGTAGCACTGAAATCATTGTTCCTTCCATGTTTAAATCACTGGTGCTTAACGATACTCTCTGGAGGCTTGCAGATTTTAGCTTGAAGAAGGCCACTTTCCTTATTTTTAGACTATTAATAGTCTGGGCAGTGAACACTTTGGCCAGCTGCACCAAAACCTGGGATTCAAAGGTGTATTTTAAATGGAAAGCTTTTCAAGCTTCTCACTCTTTTCATGTGAATGTATTCAATAAACAAGTTATTCCAGCAGGAGTGAGGTAAGTGAAGACTTGTGCTCTCTGCTTCTCTATACTCCCCATAACTGTCCCAGTCCCATCATTTCTTCCAAGCAGGACAACTACATTTATGACATCCAGGGAGAACCAGTACATGGGCTACTTGGGTAAAAACTCATCTGCCTCCTTTTCTCAAGTGGGGGTTCATGTTTCTTTTCTTTCCAGATGCCAATTTGCACAACACATATAAGTATAATTACCTCTAAAACTTCTACCCCCTTCAAATGCAGTTTAATTGGGACAAATGTGTGCTCCCAAGGCCCAGAAAGCCAACTGTGTCCTGGGCTGCATCCAAAGCAGCATGGGCAGCAGGGCCAGGGAGGGGATTTTGCCCCTCTGCTCTGCTCTGCTGAGACCCCACCTGGAGCACAGCATCCAGCTTTGGGGTCCTCAGCACGAGAAAGGAGTGGAGCAGGTCCAGAGAAGGGCAATGAAGATGATCCAAGGGCTGGAGAACCTCTCCTGTCAAGACAGGTTGAGAGAGCTGGGGCTGTTCAGCCTGGAGAAGAGAAGACTCTGGGGAGACCTTATAGCACCTTCCAGTGCTTAAAGTGGGCTTATAAAAAGAGGGAAAGCAACTTTTTACATGGACAGATAGTGATAGGACAGAAGAAATGGTTTTACACTAAAAGAGGATAGATTTACATTAGATGTTAGGAAGAACTTTGCTCAGAGAGTAGTGAGGTACTGGAACAGGTTGCCCAGAGAAGTGTCTGCCCCATCCCTGGAAGTGTTCAAGGCGAGGTTGGATGGAGCTCTGAGCAACCTGGTCTAGTGAGTGGCATCCCTGTCCATGGTGGTGGGGTTGGAACTAGGTGATCTTTAAGATCCCTTTCCATCCAAGCCTTTCTATAATTCTATGATGGATTTGAAAGTTACTGCTGTGCAGTCTATCTGTCTCCACAGTACACTTTCTTTGCTTAAAGAAACACTACCAAAATAAAACCAAATCTAATGTAGTGTTGGATAACATACAAGCATGCAGCACACGTAAAAATTTAGCATCAGTACACCCCATTCATCTTTATATACACAACATAACATACCGTTTTTTCCTCATTTTCAAATGCTTCTCTTGCTTCTTCATAGCTACAGATTTCTTCTCTGCATTCATGTTCTATGTCACCTTGCTTTAATTCTTCCAGAAACGTGTTGGCTCTTGGGTATCTTTTTAACACAGAGTTGGCTTTGTCCTCTGTTAAGAACACTGAATAAGAAGAGGTGAGACAACAAAAGTCAGTTCTAAAATAGATACCCAAAACCTCACGCTAGAGTTGTTCAAAGAAAACGTGCTCATAAGAAAAAGCTTTTTCAAAGTCTTCCCTTTTATTTCATATGATAAAAGGCCTCTCCTAGTTTTGTTCACTGTTGTAAGGAGTTGGGCCTACAATTTCAGTAGTTATTGTATAATGGCATAAATGCAATAGACCTCAATTCAGCATCATAGTCCTGTGTGCTTCAACAAGACTGAAGCTGGTGCCTAAGACGTGCTCAGATGAGACAGGCACGTGCTCAGCTCAAGCAATTTCTTAAACTAAGATGACACAGAACAAACAAATCCTGCCTGTGAACATCCAAAACGAGATTTGCAACTGCCTGAGGACATCACAGCCACAATGCTCTGAAGTTTTTTATATAAATATTTATGACTATTACCCAGAGTCACTCACACCAGAACAGCTGCATTTATCAATGTTTTAGTCTGTTAAGTTTTTTGAAGCAACTTCGAAGCAGACTGGTTCCCTTCACTCCAGAAATCTCAACCATGAAATGGGTACCCTTTTGGAGGTGTGGGGGGAACTGGCCTCTTTCTATTTTCTTTAATCATACACAAAACCTCACCTTATTTGATTAATCAAATAAAACAGTTCCAAAAGGCAACCAGTGTTCTGACACAGATATTCTTTACTTGCGTTCTTTAGTTTTCTCTTTTCTTCTGATGTTCCAGATTTCCCTCAAACTCCGCGCGCCAATGGTTTTTACAGTAATATGCAGCAACTGGAACACTCCAAAATCCATCACACGGAGTTACCTGGGAGGTACATCTGCAGTAAATGCTGCAGAAATTCTCCAGGTGTTTCAGGTCAGGAAGCAGGAACATCATGTCAGTGCTACACTGCTCTTGGGCTCTCACTGCCAGCAAGAGGGGATGATGATTCAATGCACTGCCACACTAATGCACTCATACCACTTTCCTGACCTATGCAATCATTTGTGCACTGCTTCATTTACATTTAATCTGAAGGGCTTTTTTTTCCCTTAATCATCTGATTTTTAATGTTACAGAAGGAGGGCAGCAAGTAAACAAATATGATCACTGAGCTTTTGCTTTAGATAGATGTCATCTGTCAGCAATGATTAGCATAATTAGGCTGATCTACTTGAATTTCATTTTATTTAGTCTCTGTAATGGGTTTATGTGGCCAGGTTTTGGTAGTGGCGAGGCTACAGGGGTGGATTCTGTGAGAGGCTGTTAGAAAATTCCCCTCTGTCCAAGACGGACTCGGTGCTGGCCAAGGCTGAGCTCATCCGGGATGGTGGTGGCACCTTGAGGATAACATACTTCAGAAGGGTAAAAAAGCTCTGTGCAACTGCAGCAGCAGAGGAGTGAGAATATATGAGAGCAATGGCCCTCCAGACACTGAGGTTGGGGAAGCAGGAGAAGCAGAAAATGCTCCAGGTGCCGGAGCAGATATTCCCTTGCAGCCCACGGTACAGAGCATGGTGAGGCTGTGTCCCTGCAGCCCACGGAGGTCCGTGGTGGAGCAGAGATCCACTTGCAGCCTGTGGAGGATCCCACACTGGAGCAGATGGATGCCCAAAGGAGGCTGTGATCCCATAGGAAGCCCATGCTGGAGCAGGCTCCTGGCAGGACCTGTGGACTCTGTGAAGGACCCACACTGGAGCAGACTGTTCCCAAAGGACTGCACCCCATGGGAGGGCCCCATACTGGAGCAGGGGAAGAGTGTGATGAAGTCCTTCCCCTGAGAAGGAAGGAGCAGCAGAGACGGTGTGTGATGAACTGACTGCAGCCCCCAATCCCCGTCCCTCTGTCTGCTGGGGGGAGGAGGTAGAGAAATGGAGAGTAAAGTTGAGACCAGGCAGAAGGGAAGGAAAAAAAGTGTTTTAAGATTTGTTTTTGTTTTCTCACAATTTAAATAATTTCCCCAAGTTGAGCCTGTTTTGCCTGTGACAGTAACTGGTGAGTGAACTCTCCCCGTCCTTATCTTAATTCATGAGCCTTTCACTGTATTTTCTCTCCCCTGACAAGGAGCAGAGTGACAGAAGGTTTGTTGGGCACTTGGTGTCCAGCCAGGGTCAACCCACCACAACTTGATTACAAATCATTATACAGTGATCTTCCTTTTGCAAAGGATTAAATCAAGATTTGAAGATAAATTCCAAAACAGCACTCACTTCCAGTTTTAATACATGTACACACATGCACCACACAAATGACACTATTCACAATGGTGCCAGGGGCTCAGTGCCAACCCTACAACTGCACCTCCCACTAATCTGGTTTTCTACAGCACCACGGGTGAGCACATGGATATCTCCTATAAATTCACTGACTAAATAACATAAACCTCTTCAAAAGGAAAGAAAATAAGATGGCTTCTTTCCATTTCCCACACAATTCTGCTGACTCCCCTCTAGGCCTGAAGAAGCTGGTTTCTCTCCACATGCCTCAGTGATCACCTAAAGGTGATGAGCTGAAGGACTTGTCCACATGAGGAAGCCAGCACACAGCCATGCCCAGGGTTGGACTGCTGGTGCTTCACCTACTTCTCCCAACTCCTTGTGGGCATTCCTGAAGGGAACAAATGTCAGGCCAGACTCTCTTAAGAGTGCCCATATGAAGAGTCACTGAAGAGTAGATAATGCACTATAAATCAAGTTTCCTTTCCTCCAGCAGATAAGACCTAGGGAATTTCATTTCACAGCTGGAATTCATCCCTGAAAAGAGCAATAAGAGAAATTACAACAGCTTTGTACTGGATGCAGAGGGAAAAGAAATACAGGAAAACGCAGATAGCTGAAAGTACCTTGACTTAAAGATTCTGGTTCTCAGAAACAAGATACAATTCTTTTTTTCTGCATGCATATCCCAATTTAGAAACAGAATAAAGGTTTTAAAGCTGGTATGTTAAGAAATGTTGCATTTGATAAACACTGCTATGAGTTTCTAGGGAATACTTTAGTTTTCCAAAAGGAGCTAAACATACATTTTGGATTCAAATGCTTGACAAAGAACAGCAAACATTAAGATAATTCAGTATTGAAGAACGGTCAATATATGACTATCTAAATGCCCAACTTTTTTATTTAGCATTCATATTCAGAAAGTCTGTCTTCTCTCACAATACAGTATACAAAATGCATACATCATAGAGACAAAAAAAAGCCCACTGAGGAAAAAAAAACTACATCCCATATTAATTCTGAAGGTGTCTGATAATTAACGATCTCTGGTTAGTCCAGACCAAGAATGGCTTTTGAACCTGCAAGGCTGGAAAAAAATAAAGTATAATAATTTGTTTGTTTTGATGTGACATTTTTAATGCTCTGCACACTCCTAGTGACTTCAAATCCCATTGAGAAGTCAATACAAATGTATCAAGGAAACATGAGAACACATGAATCAAAGCAATCTTGATGAAGATACTGATTGAAATACAGGGATTTAATGAGAATCAGTCACTGCCTGATGAACCCTATAAAAAGAGAGAATGGAATCACATTGAAGAATCCATTTTGACTTCTTAGTATTCCAGGACCATAATCCTGCAGATATTCAGTTATAGTTGGATAGGAGTGTGTAAAAAAAACTATTTTGCGTTTTCAGCTAAGCCACAGGGTGGCCAAATTCACTACAGCTGTTCCTGTGGAGTTAAACACAATCAGGGAAGACTTGTATGTGGCAAGAATAAAGTAATGAAGCATGATAAAACTTACTTTTTTACTTTTTTTAAAGGAGATTAACTAGCAAATACAAGATAAAAATCAAAATTATTATTTTGGCATTATGTAAAATGGACACAGAAATAAGTAATTTAAAGTCTCTTTCAGTCCCTCAATGTTTGTAGAATATAGATGAAGACACATATCAACTAGCAGTTTTAATGCATTTGAATACATTATTTCTTCAGACACGGTTGAGCTCTCTGTGTAACTGCAATACTTGTGTTTTACCGAGTTTTTATGCATCAGAAAGCTACAAAAAAATAAGACTTAGTTTCTCTTATTATTACTGAAGAGAGCAATACAGTCAGATCAATCTATTACACATTCTCTGTAAAACCTTCATGGTATCCTAACAGAGGATGGATACTCTACCAAGATGAAATTCAATCAGAACCAGAGACAGGCAAGGACATGAGAGGATAAATACACCACAGCCTGCCAGCTGAAGCTGTCACAGGGAAAGAAAACAGGCTTCAGGTCTTTAGTGACAGAAGGAACAGGGAGCAGGAGCGTGGGAAAAGTATTCTGGGACACAGAAGTGTGGCCAAAGCAAAGCCTGGGGCATCCTGGACACCAAAACCAGCTCTATTTAGACCATTATTGAGGCTTCCTTTTTTTGACTCCTTCCCAACAACTAAGCAGACTAAAACCACCACTAAAACCACCACGCTAAAAATAAACATTTAACCTTAAATTTGAAGCTGCTGCTATTAAATTTGAGTCTTTTTGTAGTTCATCTTAATAAAGCCATTTGGTTTGAATAAGGCAGAGGGGTGAAAAATGATTTGTACATTTCTTTGTAAAGCTTAAAAAGTGACTTCCGCTCTAAAAATTTGGAGGTACTGGGACAAGATTAAAAACAGTTAAAAGTAAAGTACTCAAGGCTGGAAACTGAGCTCTGTGGTTTTCATTCTGCAGCCAACTTTCAAAGGGCCACAAGTAAGTCTGTGATTATTACGGCCTTCAAATAATATCTCTGTCAGAACAGTCATATGATTCCAGTTCACATCAGCATGGGCAAAGATCTGCATTGTCCATAACATTCAAGTCAGTTCAATGCCAGAGGGTATTTTTTGTGCAAAATTACTGGGATTTTGAGGAGAGGACAGTTCTGGGGTGTGTTACTGCCCACTTCATAGGGAATAATAAAAAATGCACACTCATCACTACATTAACAAACTTACCACTATCCATGATGATTGCTGTCAAGGCAGGGAACTTGCAGTATTAAGTCTGTAAACAAAAGAGGAAACATCCTGTTGAGTTTGTGAATTATGATGAACTTGGAAAAGTTTCTCTTGATTCCCTAATACTGTTACAAATATATCAAGCTTAATCCCTCTTTTGAGATGTACCACTACTGCAGGCAAACTAATTTCAGTAATATAGGAATACTATCCAAAAAAAGTTAAGTCTTGTGAATTGGTAAATGCTTTAACCTTTTTCAAGGCTTTTCATATTCAGAATATATGTTAATATGAAAGAAAGGGTGTGTATCATTTAAAATGTAATGCAGCCTGTTTTGCCTAATTGAACTTGAAAGGTATTACATTCTCCACTGTAATTACTTATACCTTAGCTAAGACTTAAATTTACTCTGCACAGATCAAGTCAACACATTGAATCCATGGATCAGATTTTTTGAAATCAGAACACACATGTAAATACATTCAGAGTCAGCTACTGATTAAAACAGGATGCCTGCATAAAGTGCAAGGGCAGAACAAGGCCTGCAATTTGGCAAAGGAACTTGCAATACATGAGAGGCTCCCAACCAGCCCTACAAGAACTTACATGCACTTTGTACCTCATCTTGGAAAGAGAACAGACAAGAGATGCTCTCAGTTAAAGTGCCTGAAGCTCACTGCACCCACCAGGCAGAGACAAGAACTGCATCCGAAGGCAGCAAGAGTAGTTTGAGGGACTGTTTTCTGGGTCTTGGAGTCTTTATTAGTATGGGAAGAATTAAGACAATAAAAGCTTTCAGGAAAGTACAAGAAAGGTACAACTTTCTAACCAAGTTAGTAGAACATTACAAGGTTAAAGTTTTTTTTTTAAATTAATAAATTACCTACTCCTAAATTAAGAGGACAGGTTACACATCAACATATACCACATTGATGCCCTCACTTTCCATGAATCCAATCCCTCATAAGCAAACCTCTCTGTAAAAAGGGTTGGTCATGGCTGTTGTAAAAAAAGAGGGAAAGTTGATGTTTCCAGCATAGCCCGTCCAACACCATAATTCATCAGGCAAGAGCAGACATTGTAAAACACTATTTGTAAGGACTGCTGAGGTGAGTGGAGCTCTGTAAAGACATCCCAGCCTGCTAAACAAAACTGTAGCATTGGGACTACAAGACACGTAGGATGAAGGAGTAAACTGACTTTAAAGCAAGTTCATCAAATCTCTGTAAAGGCAAATAAATGTGGATAAACAGCAAACATTAAAGCACTCTGAAATCTCACCACCACAGTGTTTAGCTTGTCATTACTAAGTATTGTAGGCTAACAGAAGCAGAGGACTTAAAATTTTTTTTCAGAATATATATAAGACCTCTTTTAATAGACTGAATTTTTCTTACCAGACTCCTCTGTGCGAAGACAAACCACATTTGCCAATTGCTTCTTGAATAAAATTAAAATTAGCATCATTTTTTGGGCAGTCACATTGTTACAACCCAAATACCTGTGATGAAGAAATTGCCAAACTTATAAACAGGTCACAAAAGAATTGACTAGTGGTGTAACTATTCTCTTCACCTGTTACATCATTATTTTCTTTTGCCATTTATTACCCAGCAGTTTCAGATGGCTGCTTTTGCAAACATCAAATAAAACACACATCAACAGAAGAGACAGAGCCATGAGTGCTCCCTTGCTCTGTTAAGTGGCAGTAATGCCATGCATTAAACACACCTTGCCAGGCTTTCCCCTTCTCTCATGGAGTCATTTTTCTGCAATAGATTTCAGTTCATCTTTAATATTTCATCCCTTTAACAAATAACTTGGGTGTGGATTTCAAAAACATTAAAAAAATAAAAAAGCAGAATATACACATCCACATCCATGAGTCACAACTAGATGGCTCTGATGGCTCTGCCAACTTGGAACTGTGGTGGAAACAAGGGGAATTTACATGCCTCTCCCCTGCTACAGGATGTTTTCCACCAGGAACACAGCAGGACACTGCCTCTGCCTTGGCATCTCACACTAGGTACTTGGTATATCATAAGCTCTGGAAATGAACATCAGAAAACTGACATACACAGGCTGGGAAACTGGGGAAAACATGTGGAGGAGGAAAAGAAAAAAAAAGAAAACACAGAAGGAAAAACACATTTTAATTTCTTCAAAGGTAGGTATATTATGAATTGGTGACAAAGATTTCCTGAAGTGGCTGCAAAACACAAATTACATTTTTCTTTACCTCCTTCATTACAGAAGGAAACAGTATGTCCTTTTCTAGGAAATCTCAAATACAGCTTTCCAATCAGTGGCTGTACTACAGAAACTCCCCTTCATCAATCCACATTAAATTCTTACAGGAATTACGAGTATTTAGAGCTCCCTGGAACTAATCATGTCCATTGTCGACCAATTGTGTGTCTTTTCTATGTTCCCCTGACTTTCCTCTCTATATCTCCTCAACCTTCATTTCCAAGCTCCCACAAATCATAGCTTCCTCCTATGACATCCAAAAACCTACTGGGCAAGAGGTTGATTAAGGACAGGGGCAATGGCAGCCCTGCCACTACACAGACATTTCAGTCACAGAACAAACTCTCCCACTGCAGAGGAACTGCTTGTGCCTTCACCCTCTACTTAACTGTCCCTTTCCCTAAAGGGAAGGAGTTTAATTATATTTTAGTCCTCTTCTCTGACTGGCTTGGTTCAAACTGATTAAATAGTTGAAAGGTTGCTTGGAAGAAGGGATAGAACACAGACAAGTACAAAAATCTTTTTTACTGTCATAAACCAGCTAATAAAGCTGAAGAGGGCTGACCACGCCACAGGAACATCTTGACTTGCTACTGACTCATTTATTCCTCTACCCAGCCCTTTATTTAGTTTTCTGCTTTTAAGTCTTCACAAACCTTACTGAAGCCTATGTATACAGGGCAATCTTCTTCATATACATACACAAGAACACATACTCCTCACCACCACCCCCCAGCTCCAATAGTATCTTACTAGTAATACCAATGTTTATTGTTTCAGGAATCCCTCTTCTATATATTATTCCCTCCATGAGATTACATATCACCTTAAATTTCCCTGTGGAAAAAGTGACAACAGGGTGGACAGCATGGGCAGCTCTAAAGCCAGGCTGAGTGTTGAACTCTGAGTTCAGTGGCAGCTGACTTACCCAAACCAACACGTGATCTTTCCTCACTGCCTGCTTGGCTGCCAGTAGAATGGTTAAAAAACATGACAAGAAAGCAATGAACCGTCCACTCCTAGTAGGAATTATAATGAACACAAGTTCTAAAGTGTGTGAGACAGCCAAGGAGACACACCAACAAGGCCTGTGCTGTTTACCAGCAGCACCCTGCTCACCACCAAAGGGGTGCAGTCTCTTACCAAGGGGAAATATTTTGCATGAAAGCTCAAGGACCTAATATTGACATAACAAATCAAGATGTACATTTCTTTCCACAACTAACCTAAATTTTCTTTTCCTCAATCTTGAAAGTGCCCAAACCTTGCCTGCACTATCTATAAGCATAAAGCACAGAATATTTGTGTACACATTTCCAAAGCTGGTAATCATGTTCTAGCAGTGCAGTGTATCCCTTAAATTCTAAAGGTAACTAATTTCAGCATTAAAAGTTAGTGGCTTAAGACAATATTTCTGTAAGATTTTGTTGCATATATTAAGATAATCATCTTCAGTTGGCAGCACACACCTCTTCTGGGTACATCTCCTGACTAATGGAAACTTGTGTGCAGCATGTACCATTACAGGACAGAGGATCTGATTGAGGGCACACAAAACTGCCTGCACTGTTCTCACTCACTGTCACGTGTTCTAAGGATACCGAACATCAAGAACAAACCAAGTCCTTAAGGGAAGGGATTAGAAAGAGAAGGGAAAATAAGGCTAATGTAAAGCAGCAGTGGTATTGTCCCTCACTTACTTTCTCACCTGCTGCATTAACAGGGACTTAAAACACTGCAAGGCCACCACATTCCTCTCACAGTTGGGAGGGATGAGCCTGACAGCATCCAGGTAGGGAAGAGGGAAGTGTTTTTTTTCATTCTGCAATAGAATTCTTAATACAACATTCAAGTGTTAATTTTAGTTTTGTAATCTGTACAATTAATGAAACCACTGGGATACGATTTATAACCAGATGCCACACAGAGCTCTATAATTTCTTAAAGTTATAAATATTTAAATTTTTCTGGAGCTTTTTATGAAAGCAGGTCCATTCAAGGGACACTCTTAACTAAAACATTAGTAGATGTTCTGCCTAAAAATAAACACCCCTTTTCTAGCCCTCAGCCCCAAACCAGGTGCAGTGCAAAAACTGAAACACTCCTGTGGGAGGTCTGTTTAGAAGAAATATTAAAAGATTATCAATCTGTCTTCCCGCGTAGTTATTTAATTATCTGACTGCCATTTATTCAAAACGCATTATGTGCCTACCTAAAAATGCCAGTCCCACCACATACATCTTTTATATCCTTGGAAAAAATGATACAGAAGAGTAAAATTTTACTTATTATCATTTGTTTCACAGGAACTTGCTTCCCAGGAAAAGGGTACCAAATAATTTATATGGATTCAAATGCTGAAGAAATAGATTTATTTTTCTCTGAGCAGAATAGGATATAGAATATAGAAGAACCTTGTATTTATTAAGTTGCCCCTAACAGCAAGGTTTTTCAGGGAATTTGGTGGTAATAAAGAGGGATGGAACATTTTGGAAACTACTCTATCAGACAAGGATGCAAAAGATTTGTCCCACCTCAGACTACATGGGATGAGGATAAGAGTAAAACAGAGAACTGAAAAAAACCCCTCTGCTTTGTAGATGCTATCTGATCACAGCATTATAAAACATCATCATTAATTCTGATGACATAAGGACCCAAACCCACAGATCAGGTCACTAAGAGAAACCTGTACTTAGCAGAGTGCCATTGCATCTTTAACCTTGTGAAACACATCATTAGTCACAGAGCAAGCAGGCTGAGCACAGCTCTCCAACACCACCCTGAGAGCA